AGGGACCCATGAGAGACTCTGGACCTGGCAGCAGCATGAGGAGGCGGTATATATAGGGGCCCATGGCAGATTAGGGGCCTGGCAGCAGCTATGGGAGGCCCGTAATCTGCCAGCACCCTATGTCAAAAAATTCTACACACCAGCAGTGTGTGAGGAGACCTGAAAGTGGCACATGGCAGAGTGTGGCGATGGAGACAGCAGCAATGGGAGGCCGTACAGGGACCCATGAGAGACTCTGGACCTGGCAGCAGCATGAGGAGGCGGTATATAGGGGCCTATGGCAGATTAGGGGCCTGGCAGCAGCTATGGGAGGCCCATAATCTGCCAGCACCCTATGTCAAAAAATTCAACACACCAGCAGTGTGTGTGAGGAGCCCTGAAAGTGGCACATGGCAGAGTGTGGCGATGGAGACAGCAGCAATGGGAGGCCGTACAGGGACCCATGGCAGACTCTGGACCTGGCAGCAGCATGAGGAGGCGGTATATAGGGGCCTATGGCAGATTAGGGGCCTGGCAGCAGCTATGGAGGGCCCGTAATCTGCCAGCACCCCTATGTCAAAAAATTCTACACACCAGCAGTGTGTGAGGAGACCTGAAAGTGGCACATGGCAGAGTGTGGCGATGGAGACAGCAGCAATGGGAGGCCGTACAGGGACCCATGAGAGACTCTGGACCTGGCAGCAGCATGAGGAGGCGGCGGTATATAGGGGCCTATGGCAGATTAGGGGCCTGGCAGCAGCTATAGGAGGCCCGTAATCTGCCAGCACCCTATGTCAAAAAATTCAACACACCAGCAGTGTGTGAGGAGACCTGAAAGTGGCACATGGCAGAGTGTGGCGATGGAGACAGCAGCAATGGGAGGCCGTACAGGGACCCATGAGAGACTCTGGACCTGGCAGCAGCATGAGGAGGCGGTATATAGGGGCCCATGCAGATTAGGGGCCTGGCAGCAGCTATGGGAGGCCCGTAATCTGCCAGCACCCTATGTCAAAAAATTCTACACACCAGCAGTGTGTGAGGAGACCTGAAAGTGGCACATGGCAGAGTGTGGCGATGGAGACAGCAGCAATGGGAGGCCGTACAGGGACCCATGAGAGACTGGGACCTGGCAGCAGCATGAGGAGGCGGTATATAGGGGCCTATGGCAGATTAGGGGGCCTGGCAGCAGCTATGGGAGGCCCGTAATCTGCCAGCACCCTATGTCAAAAAATTCTACACACCAGCAGTGTGTGAGGAGACCTGAAAGTGGCACATGGCAGAGTGTGGCGATGGAGACAGCAGCAATGGGAGGCCGTACAGGGACCCATGACAGAGACTCTGGACCTGGCAGCAGCATGAGGAGGCGGTATATAGGGGCCTATGGCAGATTAGGGGCCTGGCAGCAGCTATGGGAGGCCCGTAATCTGCCAGCACCCTATGTCAAAAAATTACACACCAGCAGTGTGTGAGGAGACCTGAAAGTGGCACATGGCAGAGTGTGGCGATGGAGACAGCAGCAGCAATGGGAGGCCGTACAGGGACCCATGAGAGACTCTGGACCTGGCAGCAGCATGAGGAGGCGGTATATAGGGGCCTATGGCAGATTAGGGGCCTGGCAGCAGCTATGGGAGGCCCATAATCTGCCAGCACCCTATGTCAAAAAATTCACACACCAGCAGTGTGTGAGGAGACCTGAAAGTGGCACATGGCAGAGTGTGGCGATGAGACAGCAGCAATGGGAGGCCGTACAGGGACCCATGACAGACTCTGGACCTGGCAGCAGCATGAGGAGGCGGTATATAGGGGCCTATGGCAGATTAGGGGCCTGGCAGCAGCTATGGGAGGCCCATAATCTGCCAGCACCCTATGTCAAAAAATTCTACACACCAGCAGTGTGTGAGGAGACCTGAAAGTGGCACATGGCAGAGTGTGGCGATGGAGACAGCAGCAATGGGAGGCCGTACAGGGACCCATGAGAGACTCTGGACCTGGCAGCAGCATGAGGAGGCGGTATATAGGGGCCTATGGCAGATTAGGGGCCTGGCAGCAGCTATGGGAGGCCCATAATCTGCCAGCACCCTATGTCAAAAAATTCTACACACCAGCAGTGTGTGAGGAGACCTGAAAGTGGCACATGGCAGAGTGTGGCGATGGAGACAGCAGCAATGGGAGGCCGTACAGGGACCCATGACAGACTCTGGACCTGGCAGCAGCATGAGGAGGCGGTATATAGGGGCCCATGGCAGATTAGGGGCCTGGCAGCAGCTATGGGAGGCCCAGCTGCCAGCACCCTATGTCAAAAAAATTCTACACACCAGCAGTGTGTGAGGAGACCTGAAAGTGGCACATGGCAGAGTGTGGCGATGGAGACAGCAGCAATGGGAGGCCGTACAGGGACCCATGAGAGACTCTGGACCTGGCAGCAGCATGAGGGAGGCGGTATATAGGGGCCTATGGCAGATTAGGGGCCTGGCCCATAATCTGCCAGCACCCTGCCCCATGTCAAAAAATCCACAGACACCACAGCAAAGTGTGAGGAGTACCTGATTCAGTGGTTACATGGCATGAGAGTGTGTGGGACCTGGCAGCAGCATGAGGAGGCGGTATATAGGGGCCTATGGCAGATTAGGGGCCTGGCAGCTGCTGCCAGGCCCCCTAAATCTGCCATAGGCCCCTATATACCGCTTCCTCATGCTGCTGCCAGGTCCAGAGTCTCTCATGGGTCCTGTACGGCCTCCCATTGTGCTGTCTCCACTTGCCATGTGCCACTTTCAGGTCTCCTCACACACTGCTGGTGTGTAGAATTTTTTGACATAGGGTGCTGGCAGATTATGGGCCTCCCATAGCTGCTGCCAGGCCCCTAATCTGCCATAGGCCCCTATATACCGCCTCCTCATGCTGCTGCCAGGTCCAGAGTCTGTCATGGGTCCCTGTACGGCCTCCCATTGCTGCTGTCTCCATCGCCACACTCTGCCATGTGCCACTTTCAGGTCTCCTCACACTGCTGGGTGTGTAGAATTTGCTGCCAGGCCCCTAATCTGCCATAGGCCCCTATATACCGCCTCCTCATGCTGCTGCTGCAGGTCCAGAGTCTGTCATGGGTCCCTGTACGGCCTCCCATTGCTGCTGTCTCCATCGCCACACTCTGCCATGTGCCACTTTCAGGTCTCCTCACACACTGCTGGTGTGTAGAATTTTTTGACATAGGGTGCTGGCAGATTATGGGCCTCCTATAGCTGCTGCCAGGCCCCTAATCTGCCATAGGCCCCTATATACCGCCTCCTCATGCTGCTGCCAGGTCCAGAGTCTCTCATGGGTCCCTGTACGGCCTCCCATTGCTGCTGTCTCCATCGCCACACTCTGCCATGTGCCACTTTCAGGTCTCCTCACACACTGCTGGTGTGTTGAATTTTTTGACATAGGGTGCTGGCAGATTATGGGCCTCCCATAGCTGCTGCCAGGCCCCTAATCTGCCATAGGCCCCTATATACCGCCTCCTCATGCTGCTGCCAGGTCCAGAGTCTCTCTCATGGGTCCCTGTACGGCCTCCCATTGCTGCTGTCTCCATCGCCACACTCTGCCATGTGCCACTTTCAGGTCTCCTCACACACTGCTGGTGTGTAGAATTTTTTGACATAGGGTGCTGGCAGATTATGGGCCTCCCATAGCTGCTGCCAGGCCCCTAATCTGCCATAGGCCCCTATATACCGCCTCCTCATGCTGCTGCCAGGTCCAGAGTCTGTCATGGGTCCCTGTACGGCCTCCCATTGCTGCTGTCTCCATCGCCACACTCTGCCATGTGCCACTTTCAGGTCTCCTCACACTGCTGGTGTGTAGAATTTTTTGACATAGGGTGCTGGCAGATTACGGGCCTCCCATAGCTGCTGCCAGGCCCCTAATCTCTGCCATAGGCCCCTATATACCGCCTCCTCATGCTGCTGCCAGGTCCAGAGTCTGTCATGGGTCCCTGTACGGCCTCCCATTGCTGCTGTCTCCATCGCCACACTCTGCCATGTGCCACTTTCAGGTCTCCTCACACACTGCTGGTGTGTAGAATTTTTTGACATAGGGTGCTGGCAGATTACGGGCCTCCCATAGCTGCTGCCAGGCCCCTAATCTGCCATAGGCCCCTATATACCGCCTCCTCATGCTGCTGCCAGGTCCAGAGTCTGTCATGGGTCCCTGTACGGCCTCCCATTGCTGCTGTCTCCATCGCCACACTCTGCCATGTGCCACTTTCAGGTCTCCTCACACACTGCTGGTGTGTAGAATTTTTTGAACATAGGGTGCTGGCAGATTATGGGCCTCCCATAGCTGCTGCCAGGCCCCTAATCTGCCATAGGCCCCTATATACCGCCTCCTCATGCTGCTGCCAGGTCCAGAGTCTGTCATGGGTCCCTGTACGGCCTCCCATTGCTGCTGTCTCCATCGCCACACTCTGCCATGTGCCACTTTCAGGTCTCCTCACACACTGCTGGTGTGTAGAATTTTTTGACATAGGGTGCTGGCAGATTATGGGCCTCCCATAGCTGCTGCCAGGCCCCTAATCTGCCATAGGCCCCTATATACCCGCCTCCTCATGCTGCTGCCAGGTCCAGAGTCTCTCATGGGTCCCTGTACGGCCTCCCATTGCTGCTGTCTCCATCGCCACACTCTGCCATGTGCCACTTTCAGGTCTCCTCACACACTGCTGGTGTGTAGAATTTTTTGACATAGGGTGCTGGCAGATTATGGGCCTCCCATAGCTGCTGCCAGGCCCCTAATCTGCCATAGGCCCCTATATACCGCCTCCTCATGCTGCTGCCAGGTCCAGAGTCTCTCATGTCATGGGTCCCTGTACGGCCTCCCATTGCTGCTGTCTCCATCGCCACACTCTGCCATGTGCCACTTTTCAGGTCTCCTCACACACACACTGCTGGTGTGTGTAGAATTTTTTGACATAGGGTGCTGGCAGATTACGGGCCTCCCATAGCTGCTGCCAGGCCCCTAATCTGCCATAGGCCCCTATATACCGCCTCTCCTCATGCTGCTGCCAGGTCCAGAGTCTCTCATGGGTCCCTGTACGGCCTCCCATTGCTGCTGTCTCCATCGCCACACTCTGCCATGTGCCACTTTCAGGTCTCCTCACACACTGCTGGTGTGTTGAATTTTTTGACATAGGGTGCTGGCAGATTACGGGCCTCCCCATAGCTGCTGCCAGGCCCCTAATCTGCCATAGGCCCCTATATACCGCCTCCTCATGCTGCTGCCAGGTCCAGAGTCTGTCATGGGTCCCTGTACGGCCTCCCATTGCTGCTGTCTCCATCGCCACACTCTGCCATGTGCCACTTTCAGGTCTCCTCACACACTGCTGGTGTGTGTGTAAATTTTTTGACATAGGGTGCTGGCAGATTATGGGCCTCCCATAGCTGCTGCCAGGCCCCTAATCTGCCATAGGCCCCTATATACCGCCTCCTCATGCTGCTGCTGCAGGTCCAGAGTCTGTCATGGGTCCCTGTACGGCCTCCCATTGCTGCTGTCTCCATCGCCACACTCTGCCATGTGCCACTTTCAGGTCTCCTCACACACTGCTGGTGTGTAGAATTTTTTGACATAGGGTGCTGGCAGATTACGGGCCTCCCATAGCTGCTGCCAGGCCCCTAATCTGCCATAGGCCCCTATATACCGCCTCCTCATGCTGCTGCCAGGTCCAGAGTCTGTCATGGGTCCCTGTACGGCCTCCCATTGCTGCTGTCTCCATCGCCACACTCTGCCATGTGCCACTTTCAGGTCTCCTCACACACTGCTGGTGTGTGTTGAATTTTTTGACATAGGGTGCTGGCAGATTACGGGCCTCCCATAGCTGCTGCCAGGCCCCTAATCTGCCATGGGCCCCTATACCCGCCTCCTCATGCTGCTGCTGCCAGGCCAGAGTCTCTCATGGGTCCCTGTACGGCCTCCCATTGCTGCTGTCTCCATCGCCACACTCTGCCATGTGCCACTTTCAGGTCTCCTCACACACTGCTGGTGTGTAGAATTTTTTGACATAGGGTGCTGGCAGATTACGGGCCTCCCATAGCTGCTGCCAGGCCCCTAATCTGCCATAGGCCCCTATATACCGCCTCCTCATGCTGCTGCCAGGTCCAGAGTCTGTCATGGGTCCCTGTACGGCCTCCCATTGCTGCTGTCTCCATCGCCACACTCTGCCATGTGCCACTTTCAGGTCTCCTCACACTGCTGGTGTGTAGAATTTTTTGACATAGGGTGCTGGCAGATTACGGGCCTCCCATAGCTGCTGCCAGGCCCCTAATCTGCCATAGGCCCCTATATACCGCCTCCTCATGCTGCTGCCAGGTCCAGAGTCTGTCATGGGTCCCTGTACGGCCTCCCATTGCTGCTGCTCTCTCCATCGCCACACTCTGCCATGTGCCACTTTCAGGTCTCCTCACACACTGCTGGTGTGTGTGAATTTTTTGACATAGGGTGCTGGCAGATTACGGGCCTCCCATAGCTGCTGCCAGGCCCCTAATCTGCCATGGGCCCCCGTATACCGACTCCTCATGCTGTGACGTTGCAACAAGGTGGAATTCAACCCTACATATGTTAGACCGCCTTTACGAACAGCAAAAGGCCATCACAGATTTCCTGATGTTAAAAGCGGATAAAGGTACTCCCTGTGTAACTTAGATGTCAGCCATTGGCAGCTCATGCGTGACACCTGCGCTTGCTCAGGCCCTTTGAGGAGGCCACGCTATTCGTGAGTCGGCAGGACTATGGGATGAACGACGTCATTCCTCTGTTGCACGTCCTGGAACAAATGCTGTTAACAATGGCTGGTCAGGGTGCGGTAGACGTGGCGCACAGATCTCAACGCCACATGACCCCTGTGGGGGCAGGACAGGAAGAAGAGGAGGAGGTAGAGGAGGACATTGGTGCTCAGGAATTATTGAGTGAAATGGGTGGTTTTTCCACTCAGCGGACAGGAGTGGAGGAGCAGGAGCATCTGGTAGAGGAGGAGGAGGAGGAGGAGACAGAGGACCCAGACGCACCGTGGCAGTATGCTGTGGAGATGGAGGCAGGGAGTCCCTCGCATTCCTTGGCACAAATGGCCCATAGCATGCTCGCTTGCTTGCGTAGCGACAGCCGAATAATAACCATCAGACAGAGGGATGACTTTTGGCTGTCCACCTTGTTGGACCCTCGCTACCGTTCAAAAATGGTGGCCTTTTTCACACCTGCTGAGAGGGAGGCCAAAATAACGTACTATAAAAACCACCTATGTAGTCAGCTGGTCTCTGCCTGTCTGCGCCAACGTCCATCCTCAGACACTGTGGGCCCTGTGCGCTCGCGTTCCGCTGCCATGGCAGCAGGGGAGGGGTGGGGTGGTAGGAGCAGTGTGCAGCTCCACCAGCAGCGGCTGCCTCAGTCTGCAGTCGATGATGAGTAGCTTTCTTCACCAGCGCAGTGAGGAAACTACTAACCAGCCAGCAGCAGCAGCAGCAGCAGCAGCATCAGGTGGACCTGGAGCAGGACCTCAAACAACAGGCTTAGGCCTACTTGGACAGCACCCTGCCAACCGAGGTAGACAATCCCCTTGACTACTGGGCAACGAAACTTGACCTTTGGCCCCAACTAGCTGAATTTGCCCTTGAAAGGCTGTCATGCCCGGCCAGTAGCGTGGCATCGGAGCGCGTGTTTAGTGCGGCAGGAGGTATTGCAACTCCGCGGAGGACACGACTGTCCACCCAAAGTGTGGAGAGACTGACGTTTGTGAAAATGAATCAGGCGTGGATTAGTCTGGATTTCAAACCACCAGTTCCTGACACAACTGACTAAATCCGCCATGAATCATGCCCCAAACATGTGCCACTTTCAGGTCTCCTCACACTGCTGGTGTGTGTTCCATTTTTTGTCATAGGGTGCTGGCAGATTACGGGCCTCCCATAGCTGCTGCCAGGCCCCTAATCTGCCATGGGCCCCTATACCGCCTCCTCATGCTGCTGCCAAGTCCAGAGTCTCTCATGGGTCCCTGTACGGCCTCCCATTGCTGCTGTCTCCATCGCCACACTCTGCCATGTGCCACTTTCAGGTCTCCTCACACTGCTGGTGTGTATTCCATTTTTTGACATAGGGTGCTGGCAGATTACGGGCCTCCCATAGCTGCTGCCAGGCCCCTAATCTGCCATGGGCCCCTATATACCGCCTCCTCATGCTGCTGCCAGGTCCAGAGTGTGTCATGGGTCCCTGTACGGCCTCCCATTGCTGCTGTCTCCATCGCCACACTCTGCCATGTGCCACTTTCAGGTCTCCTCACACTGCTGGTGGGTTCCATTTTTTGTCATAGGGTGCTGGCAGATTACGGGCCTCCCATAGCTGCTGCCAGGCCCCTAATCTGCCATGGGCCCCCGTACCGACTCCTCATGCTGCTGCTCATGGGCCCCTGTTGTCGCTTGTTGGCATATTCCGCTCGTTCAGATGCTCCTTCTCCTGCTACTCCTCTTCACGGATTCCGTCAGCAGTCTTTCTTGGAATCCGTTTCCAAGAGACAACAGTTTGCGAGCACGCACCAGACGGTGCAGAAACTGAACGTCCTCCTGTCCAAGTTGCTGCTGCCAGGCTCGTAATCTGTCATGCGCCCCTGTACCGCCTCCTCATGCTGCTGCCAGGTCCAGAGTGTGTCATGGGCCCCCGTACCGACTCCAAATGCTGCTGCCAGGCCCGTAATCTGTCATGGGCCCCTGTACCGCCTCCCCATGCTGCTGCCAGGTCCAGATTGTGTCATGGGTCCCTGTACGGCCTCCCATTGCTGCTGCCAGGCCTGTAATCTGCCATGGGCCCCCGTACCGACTCCTCATGCTGCTGCCAGGCCCGTAATCTGCCATGGGCCCCTGTACCGCCTCCTCATGCTGCTGCCAGGTCCAGAGTGTGTGTATGGGTCCCTGTACGGCCTCCCATTGCTGCTGTCTCTATCGCCACACTCTGCCATGTGCCACTTTCAGGTCTCCTCACACTGCTGGTGGTTTCCATTTTTGTCATAGGGTGCTGTATGGCCTCCCATTGCTGCTGCCTCCACCGCCACACTGTGGCTCCACACTCTGGTTTTGGCCCCGTGACTGCCCAAATGAGTGAAGTGTGCGGTGATTCTAAGATCGACGGCACTCATCTGCATGTCATACTGCCTGACAGTATTATTTCTCTTCCCCAGCAGACTCCAAGGGCATTTAAATTAAAGGTACAGTGTTCAGCACTAATATTAAGTCTC